TGGTATGATATTATAATTAGACCTGTTATTTCGTTTTCCCCTAGTTTCTCCTCGACGTATACAATTACGTATTTAAATCATCAATTAAGTGAGCTAGCACATTGTTAATGCGTAAATTTTAGGATTATCCAGTTAATCAGCACGTGCACATCATGAGAGCACTCTTAAATCTGCATTAAATATCAGAAGTCAACACTATTAATATAGTCTTTAAAACTGGTTTAAAAAAAGTCTTAAAAACTTGTAATTTTTTTTGGTTATTTAATAGGTGCTACATTTATTAGTCTAGTACTACAACTACTACGTATATATTTCGTATATTGTAACACCTATTTATATTCCCACCAAATAATTTAGGTCGTGTTCAAGATCATTTCTTCTTGAATATGCCTCAAATACTTCACCTAGTCGCTCTTTTGCTCGCTCTGACAGCTCGTTTTCATGGAGCTCAATCGCTTAAAGCATTAGTCGCATTCATAACCCAAGTAAACTCTTCCACTTTTCTCTACACTATTACTGTCAACCAAAAAGAGAAACTTGTGATAGATCTTGAGTCACCATTCTCATGGCACCATTGTCCAGCAGCATCCCCCCGGGTTCCATGCCATGCAAAGCAATGCACTAGTGCACGGTCAAGCCAACCACCGTGTTCTCTATACACGTCTACAACTTCATATCTGACCTCACCTTCAAACCCAATTAGCAATTCAAATGCCTCTTCTCACCTAACCTACACTAATGTTTCAATCGCGCTCACTGATGGCCACAATCCCTTTGCTAAAGCAAACTACACGAAGTAGTTCTTGTCTTGCGCCCCAAGTCTCTCATTAGGTCCATTCCTAAAGGCTCTTCTGGCTTGGCTAGCCTTTCTAATGGATCTCTCTCTCTTGCATCACAGTTTTCTAATTCAAAAGTGCCCAAAAAGTTTGGGATGTGCCTTGGGGATCAAGGAGTTCTCTTCTTTGGAGAAGGTCCCTTTTACTTGCTACCCTCTCCTGGAAGGGATGTCACCCAACTATTGAGTTATACTCCACTTTTAAAGCACCCAAGTGACGCTTTGGGTCACTACATTGGGTTGAAGGGTATTTCGATCAATGGACAAGCAGTCAAATTCATCGAGAGAATGCTTTCATCTGACAAACTAGTGAAGCTTAGTACGATCACACCTTACACTACGCTCAAAAGCTATATTTATAAGGCTTTACTAAGACAATTCGCAAAGGCTACTCGTGGGATTCCTCGTGTTCCAAAAGTTGCTCCTTTTGATCTGTGCTTGAATACTAGTAATTTGGGGTCTACGCGAGTTGGATTGCTTGTCCCTCAGGTGGATTTGCAACTAACCAAAGGAGGTAACTGGACCATATTTGGAGCGAACTCGATGGCACAAATATCCAACGATGTGGCCTGCCTAGCATTTGTAAACGGTGGGAAGAAGGCTCAAAACGCGATTGTGATAGGTTCATATCAAATGCAACATAATTTCTTACTCTTTGATTTGGTTCAATCTAGGCTCGGGTTTAGTTCTTTGTTGTTTTTCTTTCAAACTACATGTAACAATTTTAATTTCACATCTGGAGTTTAAGTTTGGCCATTGAGGTTACACCAATACATTCTCAACAATGATTTAGGGCCTGTTCCGATTGACTGAACTCAGTTGAACTGAACTGAACTGAACTTATTAATTAGTGATTTTTAACTACGGATTAGTGATATTTGATTATTTATTGTTTATTTATTACTATACATATGTGTATATACAAATGTACATATTAAATATTTACGAAAAATATACTATATAATTATAAAATTTATGGAAAATATATTAAAAATATACTATAGAGCCATTTGAACAATGAATTGTATCAATATTATTATTATTATTATTATTAATTATTGATTATTATAATTATTATTATTATTTATTGATTATTATTATTAGTATTATTATTATTGTTATTATTATTATTATTATTATTATTATTATTATTTATTGATGATTATTATTATTATTATTTATTGATTATTATTATTAGTATTATTATTTCAATTATTATTGTTATTATTATTATTATTTATTGATTATTATTATTATTATTATTTATTACTTATTGATTATTATTATTATTATTATTATTGTTGTTGTTGTTGTTGTTGTTGTTGTTGTTGTTGTTGTTGTTGTTGTTGTTGTTGTTGTTGTTGTTGTTGTTGTTGTTGTTGTTGTTGTTGTCGTCGTCGTTATAATAAGAGCTTAAAAGAATGAAATTTGGCTTTATATCATTAGCAATATCATTAGACATAAATTAAGAGCTGAACTGAACTGAATTTCAACGGAAGAGAATATGCCCTTAATAGATGTTTATTTACAAATGGAAGCAGTTTGATTTACCAACTCTCATTTCCATTATTTGTAAGGAAAATTTGTCATAAACAACCTTTTAAAGTGTCCACTTTATGTAAAACAACCTTTTAAATAAAGTGGACACTTTAAAAGGTTGTTTCTGACAAATTTTCCTATTTTTAATGAGGTGTGACAGTTTTCATATGCACTATTTGGGTAAAATGATGGGTGGATAAACATTTTTTTTGAGAGCAAATTTCAATTATAATTCCTGGACAGTTGACATGAAACTATCAAAGTGGATATTAGGTAAGGCTGAAACTACCCGAAAAATCGAAAACTCGAATAATCGATCCGTAACCGTTACGAAAATTAGGGTACCCGATCCAATAACCATAACGATTTGGGTACCTGTTCCGATAATTTGTTATTGGGTATGGTTATGGGTATCATTTTAAAATTAACGGTTACCCGATTCGATCCGATAAGCATTTTTTTTTTCCTTTTTTCCCTACTTAAATATATTAATATAAATCTAAACTTTTACTTTACTTCATAATCACTTTATAATATCAATGATTAGTAATGTTATTAATAATTTGGTCAAAAAATCTATCTTTTTGCCTCTCCTCCTTTTTCCTCCTTTTTCTCTCCAAAACCCTAGTCTCCATTGTTGAATTTTGAAGGGGCTTTCATCGATTTTAATCGGTGGAAAGCCCCAATTCTTGTTTCTTTATTGTTTTTTAGGTTTATAATAATACTTCCTCCTTTTGGGAGGAACTTTTCTCCCTCGAAAGAAAGGGTTTCCGATCTCCTTCGAAAGACAAGGGTTTTCCGACTTGCTTCGAAAGACAAGGTTTATCTCCTCTTTTCGAGGGAGAAATTTCTTAGTTTTGAATCCATGGTAGTAGATCTAATGGATTGTCGTGAAATGATTTCGTTGGTGAAAAAGTTATCAAGTTTTTGAATACGAATAGATGGATCAGAAGGAAAACATCCTCACGGCTACAAAGGATTGTTAGATTGTCTCTCCAACAAGGCTGTAATTTTCAGCGGTATAAGCGGGAGATGCTCCGCAGTGCAAGGTCTACTCGACGATAGGGGTGAAACAAATTCGGTTTAAAACCAAACCGAACCGAATAACAAATATGGTTTGGTTTTTTTTTAAGGTGGTTTGGTTTCGGTTTTGAAGAAAAAAAAATCGGTTTTTGGTTCGGTTTCGGTTTGAGAAAGTGAAAAACCGAAAAAACCGAGCCAAACCGAAATATAGGCCCAAACCCAAAAAATAACCCTAGCCCAACAGATTTACCCTAAGTATATAAATGAAAAAAAACCCTAATTCTCTCATTTCCTCTTCTCTCTTCTCCGCGGCTCCACGCTTCACCCTTCTCTCCTCTTCTGATCTTCTCAGTCTTCTCACTCACTCTCCTTTCCTCTTCTCAAGTTCTCAGTTCTTAGTTCTCACTTCTCCCCCTTCACTCTCTCTCCTTTTCTCTTCTCACTTCTCCACCTTCCATTCGCATCACCATCGACTAACCTTTCGAGGATTTTCGAACTCCATCAAGGGCATCAACTAAAGGGCTTTCATGTCAAATTCGACCATGAAAACACTAGATCTAGTGTTTTCATGGTCTAATTAGACTTTGAAACCCAAATTTGAGGAAAGGGCCGTTGTGTAGGGGTTTGGTATGACTGCTCTTTTGCAATTCTGCTGCTGTTCTTGTTAAAAACTTGTTCAATTATGTTGTTAAAACTTGTTTGTATGAATTGGTTGGTTTGATTTTGTTACTTTGTTGTTAAAAATTGTGTAATTATGTGTATGGATTGGTTTTGATTTGATTTTGTTAAAAGTTGAAACTTGTTGAATTAGAAGTTTTAGAACTTGTTAATGATATTATGCTACTACAGTACTGCTTTGTTGATGAATGAGGCCAAAAAAATTGCAGATTATTGGTCCAAATAAATTAGGCCCAAAAAATTCGATTTGGTTCGGTTTCTTATTATGAAACCGAAATGAATATGGTTTGGTTTGGTTCGGATTCTAAAGTAAAGTGGTGCGGTGTGGTTTTAAAAAATACAGAAACCGAATTAAAGTGGTTCGGTTTCGGTTTGGGCAAAAAACCAAACCGAAAACCGAACTTTCACCCCTACTCGACGATCGTAGTTTTTATGAAGGAAAATTTTATTTGATTCAATATCTTATGTAATTGTTAACGTCGAATCTCTATTGTAGATGTCGTATGACTTTAATTAATGAAATATTTTTGGTATTAAAATAATAATAATAATAATAATAATAATAATAATAATAATTTGGTCAAGATCATATGTTATTATTTTTAATTAGTTGTAAATTATATCATAATAACTATATAATTAAGTTTAATTATCATTATTTGATATCTTATTGGGTACCCAATAACCGATCCGAAAATCAGGTACCCGAACTTATCGGTTCCGGTTATGGGTATCAATTTTAGTGATTTTGGTTATCAAATCTCACCCCTAATATTAGGTAGCTTAGTTTAGGGATAATATCCAGAATTTGGAATCAAATCTTGTCTACATCAATATACTTTTTGGTTGTCCGCCACTCACTACACCCAAAAAAATAAGCAAATCAGGAAACCATCAGAGCCATAGGATAGAGCAAGACCCAAAGTTTGCGCAATTCAACTTTATTTTAATAATAATCAAAGAAAGTAAAATATTTCCAGCACAAATGCCATCAAATGGCTTATTCATTCAAAATCCAGTTCAACTAACAGACACCTTCAAGTTTACACTACAACAGAGCCTTCCATCACAGTAACAGCTTTTCCCCCGAGTTTAACTCTATTCTTCTGCTCATCTATGTCCAGCTTCAATACTCCACTCCGAGATGATGCCTGTTACAGATACTAAGTCAGAGAAAGATGGAGAATATGGTGATTACTGTTAAGGCAACCGAAAAGGAGGGGGAGTTGTGTGGTAGAACTAGGGCAGTATGAGGTATACCGCGTATGCAGTAAAATCAGACTTCCCTGTCTTCTTGGACCAATAGTATGCTAAAGCACAATGCGCACTACCAGTAACTGGATCCTGGATTACAAGCGAATTCTGTTAGCTGCAGTAATTATTCTTAGATTACCTTTTACTTTATGAACTACGAGTCTACGACTACCACTTATTCAGATATTGGAAAACTCAAACATTATCACAGTGGAGACAGGAAATACCAATTAACTGATATCCGAAAACTGAAACACATAAGCTAACACAGCATTATAAAATTCAGAAGCATGAACTCTTTCTGAAAGAAAACACACAAACGTGAAAGCATAATACCTCATTGATGCCATTCTTTGGGTAGAAGCATCGACTAACAAAATCGAACCCAGATTCAGATGGTGTAGCTGCACATATGACCAAACCCCGACCAGGGCATTTTTTAAGTTCCTCAAAGTCAACTTGTGTATCTGTAACAGCTTTTGCAGATGGCAAGACAACCTAAACAATAGTTAGAAGTTAATCATTTTTCTTTCTAAGAAGAGAAATACAGACACTGCAAAAAATTAACAGAATTGGACATACAAAGAGATCTTCTGAAGCAGTCTTCTTCATGTCGATCACAGAGGCAGGACTTAATACTTTTGATATAGACGAAGTCTCATCTAAACTGCATTCAGATGTTGCAATAGCGGGAAAATCTAATTCAATCATGAACGGTTGTTCCACTTCACCTTTATCAGACACAAGTGAGGCAGACTCCTTTGGTTCAATCACTTTCTGGGCTGTCAAGATGCCAGACTGTGTTAAAAATTCTATTGTATTCTCCTTTACCAAACCAGATGTGAAACAAAAGTGCGCGGCTGCTAAGGTTGCATGGCCACAGAGTTCTACCTGCAAAGTTCAGCAAATTACTATTGTAGATCAGTTCTGTTAGCAGACTTTGGACCAGCCAACCACAATTTTTTTGACAAGTGCTTCCAGCTCTTTAATCACCCATTTTTTCAATGTGGAACATCATAGTGAAAAACATTCATGAACCAGGTTATCCTATACAATCACACTATTTCTTCAGAATCTTCACAATAGTTTTTGTATTGGAGTTAGATACGAAGTATTAAATAATCTTCATATTCGAATAACTTTTGTCCTGCCTTTGTCTCACTAGAATACACACTACAAAAACATAATAAATTCAGATCTAACGAGCAAAAAATGCATTTGCCTCCTTATTTTAAAAGAAGCTAATATAACAAGTTCATAGTTTCTAGGACACAACATATATGCACCATCACAAAATTTTGACTAAGCCACTAGCTAGGAAAAAAATCAAAAAGCAGTTTCCACAATCTCATCTTATAGAGAAATTCTGATCAAAGTCATCCTTCTAATATCCTACCATTTTTCCTTAACTATTACACTCCCTCCATATCAATTGATAGTCCCAATTTTACTTTGTACGGTGTATAACATATTCCTTTGACCATCAATATATTTAATTATATATTTACAAAAATTATAAAAATTTGATATTTCGTATATAAAAGCATATGTCGAGACAAATCTAACAATATATTACTTGTATGTATTTACGAGTTTTTGGTCAAATTTGATATTTGCATAATAGTATGTATTTATGTGAGTTTTTGATCAAATTTTTACAAGTTTGACTACAAAAAACAAAAATGAAACTATCAAATTAAAACGGAGGGAGTAATCATCAAAGTTAGTCCGTCAATTAAACAATATTCCACATGAGTATATCTTTCCTTAACTAACAAACAGTGCATAAGTCAAGGTGTTGCAACAAATAAAACGGAGAAACTATCAATTTATATACAGAAAATGATGCGAGAAAGACAAAAAGTCAAACCTCAGTAACAGGAGTAAACCAACGGAGATGAAATCTGGGATGTGGGGAATCAGTAACAGGAAGACGAATAAGATAACTAGTTTCAGATTTGTTGAACTCAGCAGCAATTGATTGAAGCCATTCACTTTCTCTTTCCTCTTCTAGTAAACAAACAGCAGCAGGATTACCCTTGAACTCTGATTCAGTAAATGCATCAATCTGAAAAACCCAATTCAACATCAAAATTTAGTTGATAATCACATGAAAAATGCAAGAATGTACAACAGTCTGCTTCATTTTGCTTACCACAGCATATTTGACTGGCTTTTTGGTTCTCCCCATTTTGGAAGTGAGATTAAGAATTTAAAGATTGAAGAAAAATTCAGTGTATATAAACAAATATGCTCACCAAAGACTGATGAAAAGTCTACAATAACAAAAATTAAGAATTTAAAGATTGAAGAAAAATTCAGTGTATATAAACAAATATGCTCACTAAAAGACTGATGAAAAGTCTACAATAACAATCGAATGAATTTTGGCTTCTTTTTATCTCGTTCAACACCTGAATAGTTGGCTGAGAAAACAATACAAAATCAAATTTATTACTCTTGAGAAACTGTTTTTAAAAACAAAAGTCTTGAGAAACTGTTTTAATCTTACCAACAGTTTCAAATAGTAGAAGAGAGAAGAGAAGACAATCAATTAAAATGGAGAAATTGTTGGGTTAGTCATGTTTGATATTGAGTCAATTTTAGCTTGAATCATACTTCGTATTATCATATAAATTCAAAGGTCTAATCTTGTTTAGTAATGGATCTTATTCCCATGAATCATTACGGTTTAAGTTACATTTAAAATCCGATCATTTTCACTATCGTGTTAAATTCAATTTGAGTCGCTTTAACTTTCGTATATACTTTCATTTATGTTTAAGGATGAGGTAGTCTAGATCATTTTGAATTCTAGTCATTATCAGGTTATTCTTTATATTATCCGATTACTTTGACAAGTATGACTAATGAAAAGTGGGTAACTGAATAATGAGGGGCTGAGGGCATGTGTGCAAGAATAATGTATGTATGTATGTATGTATGTTGTTGTATGATTAAAAAGGTATGCGTATCCTTTTGGTGTAAAGTTGTGCTATCAAAATTAGTCCATTGTAGTTATCAATTTTAGCCCTTGAATCTTATTGCTTTAAAAAATAAAACATTTCTAAGTGCCATCAAATAGCTTATTCATTCATAATCCGGTTTAACTGAAAGACACCTTCAAGTTTACACTACAACAGAGCCTTCCATCACAGTAACAGCATTTCCCCTGAGTTTAACTCTATTCTTCTGCTCATCTATGTGCAGCTTCACAACCCCACTCCGAGATGATGCCTGTTATAGATAGTAAGACAGATGCAGATAGTAAGATGGAGGATATGGCGATCACAGTTAAGGGGTGGGGATAAAAAAAAAAGGGGGTGGGGGGGGGGGGGGAATAGTGGTGTTGTAGAGCTAGGATTGTAGGATGTATACCGCGTATGCAGTAAAATCAGACTTCCCCGTCTTCTTGGACCAATAGTATGCTAAAGCACAATGTGCACTACCACAAACTGGATCCTGGATTACAAGTAAATTCTGTTAGTTTCAGTAATTATTCTTAGATTACATTTTTCTTGATGAACTACGGATACCACTTATTCTGTACAATTCTACAGAAAATTTTATTATGGACTCCAGCCCCAAAATTACAGAAGTAACAGGATATACAAAGTAACTGATATTGAAAAAATCGAACACATAACACAAACACATTAAAAAACAGAAACATGAACTCTTTCTGAAAGAAATTACACAAACTTGAAAGCATAATACCTCATCGATGCCAAATTTTGGGCAGAAGAATCGACTAACAAAATCAAACCCAGATTCAGATGGCGCAGCTGCACATATGATCAAACCCCGACCAGGGAATTTTTTGATTTCCTCAAAGTCAACTTGTGTATCTGCAACAGTTTTTGCAGATGGCAAGACGACCTAAGAAACACAAATACGTTAATCATTTTCCTTTCCAATAAGAAAAATCCGAACATTGCAAAAGTATCACTGCAGACACCTTAACAAGAATGTTTTGACATACTGATAAATATTAGTTATATTGGGAAAATGAACAGAATTTGAAAATTTGACATACAAAGAGATCATCTGAAGCAGTCTTCTTCATGTCGATCACAGAAGCAGGGCTTAATACTTTTGATATAGACGAGGTCTCATTCAAATTGCATTCAGATGTTGCAATAGCGGGGAAATTTAATTCAATCAAGAATTGTTGTTCCACTTCACCTTTATCACACATAAGTGAGGCAGACTCTTTTGATTCAATCACTTTCTGGGCTGTCAAGATTCCAGACAGTGTTGAAAATTCTACTGTATTCTCCTTTACCAAACCGGATGTGAAACAAAAGTGCGCGGCTGCTAAGGTTGCGTGGCCACAGAGTTCCACCTGAAAAAATTCAGCGAACAGTTATTATAGAGCAGTTCCGTTAGCACACTTTGGACCAGCAGACCACAATTTTGTTCACAAGTGCTTCCATCTCTCAAATGACCCTTTTGTCTTTCAATTTTGTAGAACATCATAGTGAAAAACCATTCAAGAAGCAGTTTATCCCCATAGTACTTTTTCTTTAGACTCTTGACATTAGTTGTTACATTTAGATATTAGTGAATCTTTATATTCAACGGAGTAATTACTTTTGTCCTGCCTTTATCTCACTATATACACACTACAAAAGCACAATAAATTAAGATTTAAGGAACCAAAAATGCATTTGCCCACAAATTTCAAAAGAAGCTAACAAGTTCATAGTTTCTAGGACCCAAAATATATTCCACCATCAGAAAATTTGACTGCCACTAAGAGAAAATTCAACAAGAAATTCCCACAATCTCATCTTATAGTGAAATTCAGATCAAAGTAATCCTTCTTCTTTTTGAATGCCTTAATTCCATAAGTGGAGTCGGCTTGAACCAACAAGAGTACTTCCCAGGAGGTCACCCATGCTAGCACTACTATCAATCATTATGGCTCATGTCAAACGATGTGACAAAATTTTACACTGGCTGACCTACCGTAACCCTCTTCCTCCATCTAAGCTTGGGACTAAAAGTGATTAACCCACTAGCGTAGTTATCAAAGTCCGTCAATAAATCAATATAACACCCCGACCCCAAACAAATTAGGGAGGGACCTATTGTCCCGAAATGCGCATCAAGGGCTAATAACTGTCCTCACAGATCAACACAAGTCCTTACAGTGCATTTTTTCCTCACTCATGTGCAACCCAAGAAAACTTCCCAGGAGGTCACCCATCCCAAGACTACTCTCAACAAAGCACGCTAAACTGTGGAGTATCTTAGCATATGAGCCTCCTAAAAGGAAAATGCATCTTGTTAATGAGTAATATATCAAATCCTTTTAAAGCAATAACAAGGGGTATTAAATACACCCCCACTTGAGAACGGCAACACCGTCGTTGCGCCTGGAAAGATAGGGACTCCAATATTACTGCTAACGACAACTCGGTAGCCAAAATGTTACATCCAGTCTAGTTATAGCCAAATAGCCCCAGAAATTCTCCCCTACTAGGCGACTGACATAGGATTAATTATTCGCAATCAGCACGCTGTTGTAGGGTTGCTCTGATACCGTACCATTTGTAATTCATAACAATTATGAACATTCCCAAGGTCATACGACAAAAGAATTTCTACTGTACAAACAGTTGTACCATGTACATGGTGCAACCAATACAAGACTATGTTTTAACTTATTGGCTCATTTAAGGAGCTCCAAGTCACCAAATGAACCATTAAAAAAATGGAAAAAAAAAAGAAAAAAAGTGTGGTTGGTACTTGGTAGTTGGTACATACCATGCTCTAATAACCCACTTTTCTGTCTCTATTTCCAAGTTGCAACAATTCTCATTTAACACTTGTCAAAATATTATTTCAATCAATACGTTACGAGTTATATATACTACTAGGTACTGAACTTTACCAAATGTATCAATTAAGGTACTCAACTTTCATTTGTATAAAATAGAGTACTCTGATCTTGACTGGAGGTTACTTACTTTTCAGTTGGTAACCTATTGTATCCGGTTTATTTGATTTATTTTAAAAAAAAAATCATGGATGACAACTTTCACTCTCTAGAATACTACTTTCATCCAACTTTCTCTCTCTTCTCTTCTCCTTCGTTCTTCAACCCCAATTTGGATTATATTCTGGGGTTTTCTTATATAAAATTTTCATTAATTCGCCTCTATTATATAAATAATGTGGGAATTAATTTTCGAGAACAATTCGATTACTTGTTTGGGTTGTTCTTGTAGTTGCTGCTCTTGATAATTTTCCTTTTCTTCTTTTGGTATGCAAATTTTTTATGAGTAATTTTTCAATTAATAAAATTTAATAATTATATAAAATTCTTGAAGAATGAGCATAATATTGTGGGAAAAGCACTAGAAAAAGGAGAAGAAAAGAAGGTTGAAGATGGCAACAAAAATGGAGGAGAGAGAATAGAAGATGATGACGTTCTAATTCCTCCTGCCAATTTTTTAATGGTGGAATTATGGAAGATGGGCTTTACAGATTTGGGTTTCAAGAACCTTCAAATTTCGGCTTCCTCTAAACCCTAAGTCTTAAGTCTGTCATGTAAGTTAATGATTTTTTTATGGTTAATTATTGTAATTTGGGGTTAATTAGTATGTTATAATTATTAATGAGATTTTATTTGATTGTGTTATTATTAATTATTGTATTTAAATTTCAATGTTGCAAATATTTGTGTAACGAGCCATATATACCCAGAATTGCATGTGAAGTTTCTTAAATCACATAATATTCGATTGTGGTTTAATGTTTTTGTATGGAGTATTAATTATGAAATTAAGTTTAGTAGGTCAAAGATGAGGGAAGGTTTTCGGAACAGATCTTCAATGGTGGGTGAAGCCTCTTTTTTTTTTTTTTTTTTTTTTTTTTTTTTTTTTTTTTTAAGTATAAAAACTTCAATAGTTGCAACAAACATTTTTGGAGAAAAATTAAAATTTCAGTACCTTCCATTAATTGTGTCAGTATTTTTACTTTTCCTTTTTTTTTTTTTTGGGGTTGTTAACCGGTTGTTGTAGGTGGAAAAGTTTAGTACCCTCCCTTGAGTACCTTGCCCGATACAAATGGAAGTTGAGTACCTTAACTGATACACTTGGCAAAGTTCAGTACCTAGTAGTGTATATAACTCAATACGTTACTATACAGCATCTTTCCTTAATCATTAATCATCAAAGTTAGTCAGCGAATTGAAAAAATTACATGTGATAATTTCTGTCCTTTTACCTATTGATTATCAAAGTTAGTCAAAGTGAAGTATATAAATAGTGAACAAAATGGAGAAACTTTCAATTCGTATAGCAGTATAGTAGTCAGAGTGAAAGTATGTGCATAGCATCAAAGATAAACCGAAGAACTAGTAATACAAAAGCAATAGATTAAAACCCAACAAACAATACAGAAAATGAGGTGTGGACTGTGAAGCACGAAAAGTCAAACCTCAGTAACAGGAGTAAACCAACGGAGATAAAATCTGGGATGTGGGGAATCAGAAACAGGAAGAGGAATAAGATAACTAGTTTCAGAAATATTGAATTCAGCAGCAATTGATTGAAGCCATTCACTTTCTCTTTCCTCTTCTAGTAAACAAACAGCAGCAGGATTACCCTTAAACTCTGAATCAGTAAATGCATCAATCTGATAAACCCAATTCAATATAAAATACCAGTTAGTTAACTCGATAATCACATGAAAAAACAAAGAATGTACAACAGTTTGCTTCATTTTGCTTACCACAGCGTATTTGACTGGCTTTTTGGTTCTCCCCATTTTTGGGATTGCTTTGTTTCGTTGAAGCAATTTGGAATTGAGACCAAGAATTTAAAGATTGAAGAAAATTCAGTCAATAACAACAAACATGACCACGAAAGACTTAAAAGAGTGATGGAAAGTCTACCATATCAACTGGATTTTTGAAAATAATTCTTTTTTTTTTTTTTTTTTTTTTGAAAATACAGACTGTTATGGTCTTAACTCTTAACAACGAGTTCTCCTGAATCCTGATATCCATTCAAATTCATTGTTGGATTGTTGCCAAAATAACCTTTAGTTGTCAATCAAGGTCACGGGGTGGGGTTCAAGTTGGACCCTGTTTTTTTGAACTTCTAGGCAGAGTTGAGCAAATTTCAGCGGAGCATGGCTAGGCTTCCACACACTGCGGAGCGGAGCAAAGCAGAGTAGGGCAGAGTAGAGCATATTTCAGCAGAGCAGACAGGGCAGAGCAGATTTCAGCAGAGCAGAGCAGAGTAGGACCTCTAAAGAATAGGGCCTTGACCAATTATAAGTCGGTTTATTTTCAAATTGATCTAATCCAACTTGAGCATGATTAAAGATGGGCATCGTGTCGTGCCGGTCCGTTATGGGCCGTGTCGGGCCGGACCGTCACGGGCCGTGCCTGGGTGAGGCTCGTGCCGTGCCAATTTTTGACACACCCCAGCCCACGGAAAGGCCCACGTGCCTGGCGGGCCGTGTCGTGCCAGGCTGCGGGCCAACTCTTTTTTTTTTTTTTTTAATTTTATTTTATTTTATTTTAACTATATATGTATATTAAAAAAAATCGATATATTAATTTTTTTTTAACAACTTAAGTTTAGATAAATAATTTTATTAATTTAGCAAATAATAATAATAATAATAATAATAATAATAATAATAATAATAATAATAATAATAATAAATACGTGCCTTGCGGGTTGCAATCCGTGCCGGGCTGGCGGGCCGTGCCGGCGTGCCGACGACCATGCCGCCCGCCGTGCTCGTGTCGTGCCCATGCCAATATTCCAGAATTTTGTTCATGGCACGACCCACAAGTGGGCCGTCGTGCCGGAATTGTGTCGGGCTCGTGTCGCCCCGACCCGGCCCATGGCCATCTTTAAGCGGGATTAAGATAATTTGAGAGTCTAATCAATTCAGTTTTGTACTCTAACTTGAGCGTGATTGAGATAATTGGAGTAATCAATTAAGTTATATTTGGATTAGGCTATATCTAAGCTTGTTAAACTTGAGTCATATTATAAATAGGTTCATTTAGGGTTAATATTGAGTTGGGTGGACTTCGGGTCATTAAGTTTAATATTGAGTCAATTTTGACTCAGAATATTTCGATTAAATTTAAAGAAGAGATTGTATACAGTATTGGATCTAATTCACATAAATCATTACAGTTTGATTATTCGAAATTTAATCAATTTGAGGATCTAGATGAAATCAATTTGAGTATCTGTATCTAGACCATTTATATTTAAGGCCGAGTTACGTTCAACATTAGATTAATTATAGTTCAATCCATTTCAATTTCGAGTCATTATGAGATTATTTTTATATTATCGGATTACATTGTAAAGTGTGACTAACGATCAAGTGACAATAGGTATAATATACAATTCTTGTAAATTTAAATAACCAATAATTATTGAAAAGTATGAGAGGTGTGAGTTCAATAGGGTTTTTCATCTTACCTTTTAAAAAAAAAATTATCGAAAAGTGTGAACTGTTTATGATTGTAGTATTGTATAAGATATTAGTTAGAGTTGTTAGAAGATTATTGATTATAAGATATTAAGTGATGGTAATATATAAAGTTTTTTTTTTTTTTTTTTTTTTTTTTTTTTTTTTTTTTTTTTTTTTTTAGTGAAAGCAAAGTTCACACTTGAAACCCTATTTACTTCACCTAATCTATTAACTATTAGTAAAACAGAAGTTGCTGAAATCACCATTGCCCACGTGTCGCCTTCCCAATAAAAATTTTCCCGCCTAAATGCAATGATGATGTCATCTTTTTTTTAGAGCTATTATATTTAACATTTTTGAAATTTAAATATTGGAAGCTTCTACATTACAATTAAAGCCTATCAATTTATTGTAGAAAATTGAAACAATTTTAAATAGCACACTAATAAATATTGTTCAAGTGATTAGAGCTTTCCTCTCGATTCCAAGACATCTTGGGATTGATTCTTATCACTCGCCCTTGTGGCTCTCTAAACACCCAAAAATAAATGACCTCCTATATTGAAGTATCAATTAGACAACGTTGAACAGTACTATATCATAATTTTGATGAAAATAAAAAATTTTAAAATTACAAAACATACGTAATTCTTATTTATATTCATGAATAATTGCGATTTGTTTTTAAAATGTATAAATTAAAAATAGATTTTATGTAAACCGTGCATCGCACGGATTCTAACCTAGTTTTTACTGAAATGAAATTACTTGGTGATGCACGGAGTTTTAGGAGAGCAATATAATATTATGAGTGGATGAATAATTTATTATAGTAAAAGTTAGCTGGGGACCATGAAAGAAAAAGAATGCGGGGGAGAGCAAATATTTTTATTATATAAGTGGAGATCATGGAAGAAAGAGAAATAATAAAATAATTTAAGTGGAATTTAAAGGAAGAGAGAGAAATGATAAAATATAGTATAAAGTTACCAAATAAGGAAGTGATGCATTTATAAAAAAAAAACAACCATAAAAGGAAAGTGATGCATTTACAAAAAAATGGAGGGAGTATATTTGTTGAATTTCAATATGTTTACTGAATTGAAATTATTCTTACTGAATCTCTATTATATTTCTTCTTTAAAGTTGCTATTTTTTACTAAACTAATTTTTTGAAAAAAATATATATTATTTTTAAGGAGAAAGTACAAGCCTTACACAAGAGGCTACCAAAAGGCTTAAACGCACTCGTGCTAATGGGCAAGATAAAAAGAATTCTATTTTGCTTTCCCTTAGGTGTAAATGTATAGAAACAATGCATGTAAGAAAAAACTGAAAATGGTAAGAGATATGAAGTGTAAGAAATATGTGGATAAAAATAAGTGTTTAGTGCATGTACAAATATTTTGTGCGGAGAAGGTGGGGGTGGGGGAGGGATGGGTCAATTGACTCGGAGGGCAAGTCATTAAGGGTGTATTTCACCCGATTTTTACTCCCTCCGTTTTTAAATACTTGCTCTATTTCTCTTGGACACGCATGTCGATGCTAATCTTTGATCACTAATATCTTTAATTATCAATAAGTATAAATTCTTACAATTGAAAGTTAATAATCTATTAATTGAGATGATTCCAACAAGTACCCACAAGACTATATTTTTTCTTATGTATAAATCACAAACATTAGTCAAAGTAGGACAAATGAATAGTGCAAAAATAGAAATAGAGCAAGTATTTAAAAACGGAGGGAGTACTAAGGTAATAAAGGAGGTTTTAAAAATAAGGTTGTAATAGTGAGTCAAATGTTTTGAAACAATTAAAAAGTGAGTCAAACTTTCTAAAACAAAGGTAGTATATAGGATAAAGGAGAAAATTCCAAAATAATACTCCATTCGTTTCATACTGTTAGTCCCATGTACTATTTTGGACGTTTAAAAAAGATCTACCCATGTTGAATATTTTTAACTTAATTTTTTTAGCATTAATTGATTGTAGATTGATGACTTGACTGACGTTAAGACAACAATAAATATCAATCAATATATATATATCATTAAAACTCATGGCAAGACATGATATTTTGCCATGTGTCACCAATTTTTCCTTTTGGCATACGATATGTCGCCAAATCATACCATATATAGCATTAATTATTGAAAAACTCCATGACTCCCATGTGTCAATGTTAAGTTTAATTGATAAACTCTTCATATGCATGACAATTTCCCTTGGGTTGTAACTTTTTAATAATTACACAATAATAAAGTTTGTAAGAAATTTAACATTACTCCATTTTTATTTTGTGCATTAACTCATAAAATTGTAATCATAGAGTAAAAGATTTTTGTGCATTATGGAGTAGTATATATTTTGACATCAAATTTATAAAGATTTGTGGTGTTGTTAAACGTCGCTCCCATTTTACATATTAACGCTAGCATTTTATAAGGAATTTCCTTTTTTACCCCTAGCATATAAATACGAAATTTTCACTCAGTGACTCACATGTTTCACTCTCTAACCTCATTCACTCTCATTTTATCTCTCTAAAAATTTATAATATTAAAATCTGAAAAAAAACCCCAACAACCACCACTTGAAGAGCGCGGCAAATGGATGGCTGATCCAAGGCGAATTAGGGTGACATACTACGGTCATGGCTTAGGCGGCGGCGACGAACAAGTAACCTTTGATTTTTAAAAAATAAAAAACGGAAGTGAGACTTCCGCCCAGGATTTCCGGAAGAATCTTGGGGGATCCGCCTGGAAATTCCGGATCCTCCTTGGTTTTTCCAAAAATTTCAAGTGGAAGTTAAGATCCGCTTGAAAAATCCAGAAAAATCAAGGAGGATCCGGAATTTCCAGGCGGATTCCCCAAGGTTCTCCCGGAAATTTTGGGCTGAAGTCCCAATTTCCGTTTTATTTCGTGAATTATTATTATTATTATTTTGATGTTTCCAAATATGATTATTGATTATTTTTGTTGCTATTGCGATTTTTATATTATTAGTACATTATTATTATTATTATTATTATTATTATTATTATTATTATTATTATTATTATTATTGATGATGATGATGATTTCTAATATGATTATTGATTATTATGTTATTAGTACATTATTTGTAATGTTATTGTTATTATTAGTAATAGTATTATTGTTGTTGTTACTATTATTATTAGTAATAGTACATTGTTGTTGTTGTTGTTATTTTGATGATTTTTATTATGACTATTTTTATTATTTTGTTATTATTATTAGTAGTAGTAGTAGTATGTTATTGGTAGTATGATTTTTGTGATTATGATTATTGTTGTTGTTATTGTGATTATTTAGTACATTTTTTGTACTCTAACTTTAAGCAAGTAGTATATTATGTAATTATTACTGATATTTGATTTTGTACTTATTTAATGTAGATCGAGGGTTATGGTGCTTGTCATGCAATATCACGACGTTTGAATGCTTATGTTACGAGACAATCATCTCTTTCAAGAAGGACTAGGTCACCGCTTGAGCACGAGCAGCAATATGGGTCTCATAGTGGTTGGTCAGGAGACCATGACTCAGGCAGTGTTCGGCCCATGTATTAGCTAGGTGGACTACCTACATCAGACGAGGAGGCCAGACGATGACTCAGTTAGTCATGCTG